CCTCCAACCAATCAGAACACGGCTAACCCCCCAACCAATCAGAACACAGCCAAACCCCCTACCAATGAGAACACACCCCCACCCAATCAGAACACAGCCAAGCCCCCACCCAATCAAGTCCCACCCCCACTGGCAGTTAAAAGGAGGAAGCAGCTGCAATCTCACATTACTCTGAGAAGCACAGAGCCGGAGACAGAAGCCTGAAGATGATGAATGAGACTTCATCGAAACGTTGCCTAGATACTTCGAATCTTACGCGGGAGAAAACCCGAACAACCAAAGATCCACATACAAATACCCGCGAGAACCTCAGAAAACAAATATATATACACATACATACATACATACATACATACATACATACACAAAGGCACACATGTATATACACACTTATATACAATACAAACTCTTCCATATTGGTATCTATGAAGAGGAATGAATCAAAAATGTGAATGATTTATATTGAAAGATTGGAGACTTAACGAAGTCTATTAAGGATAATTAGAAGTCCTGAATGTAAAATAGACCATCATTTGGTAGTACTGGCAGAATTCTAACCAAAAAAGGGAACAATGAGCAACATTTGGGAACCATATGTGAATTTTGTACCAAGCAGAAAATGCATGTTTCTTCAGCTGATCATTGAGAAATGTATTAATATGAGAAATAAATTGTATTATACATTTCTTGATTAAGATAAACTATATAATTGAAAATAGGCTTGAATAGGCTTAAATGATGAAACACTTTGCACAGAATATGCAGATGAAGGTTGGTTGTGGAAAGAATGTAGAACAATCTTCCCATTTTCATAATACTCTTTCCCACACCCATTACTATCCACTATTACCCATGCTGATATATTAGCTTCTTGTAAATAGTGGAAAACACAGTGTGAAAATGCTACTATTCATAACTTTTTACAAAACTGGGCAACAGTGTCATAGATATTTTCAATCATCTAATCACAGCATCAATGTTACATCTACACAAGAGTTACACAATCTATATCTGTACCTGTAGCAGGCTAAGATGTTAAATGCATATCCGATGCATGTGGCAGAAGCAATAACAGTAGTAACAATCCAAATGCCTATAAAACAAACAACATAATCTTAATTCAGAGATGATGCCCTCAAAATACTCATCACGGTCTAGTCAGATAGTCATGGTAAAATACAAAATTTCCAAAATAGTCTATAAACATTCTTCAGACTCTTTTTAATTTACTTTTCCTGTTTTCAAATAACATTTGGACATAGTTAAACTGATTAATTTCTTAACTGCCTTTGTCTTTTTATAATTTTGAAATGTTGTAATATTTTGTTTTTTGTTATTCAGTTATAGATATAGGCTTTATTCACCAATGTTAATGTTTAGGGTAGATGTAAATATTTCACATTCTAGCTGGACAGATGTAGTTTGCTAGTTATTGGGGTAGATCTGGACACATTCAAATCCAAATCCACAGTCGGCTGTGGAAACTCATTGGTGTCTGTGGACCAGCTGTCATCTCTCAGTCCAATGTATCTCATCTGATTGCAGGATGGGTAATAAGACAAATGCAGAGAACACTAACTACTCCTTAAAGAATGACAGGAAATTAATTTAACAAATATAAATAATGTAAATGCTGGGGGACGAGCGGTCTGCCACCTCCAAGTGGTGTCCCCTGGATGCGCGAAGCCGTCAAACGCTGACCGTAACTGAGAGCAGACCCTCCGACGACAGGCCCACGCGACAGGCCGGCTGGAGTACTCAAATGCCGCATCAACATGATGGAAACGTCCACTACAAAACACACGTCCAATGCTACCGCGTTCGGGGGAACCGACGGGCGCAGGAGACCATTGGCCTGCGCCAAAAATCAACGAAATGGTCCACGCGGAAAGCACGGCCGTGTGAAAAAACGCAAGCGGGGAACAGAGGACTGCCAGACACTCAAGGTGGCCACCTGGAACGTGGATTCGCTGACTGGACGCTCGACCGAGATCGTCAGGGCCATGCGGGACAGGAAGCTGGACATCTGCTGCCTCCAGGAAACTCGCTGGAAGGGCAACAAGGCTACGACTATAGACGGCTACAAGATCATATACACCAGCTGTAAGGAAAACCGCGGCGGTGTAGCTGTGGTTGTCAGTCCAAGCTGGCAAAGTTCCGTCGCAGAAGTTAAGCGCCTCACAGAACGACTGATGATAATCGTCGTAGCGACCGAGAGGCAGCGCCTACACATCTTGTCCGCCTACGCCCCTCAGACCGGATGTCACGAGGAGGAGAAGGATACCTTCTGGGAACTGCTCGACATCCAACTCAGGCAGATCCCACACGAAGACGACATCATCATCTCGGGCGACCTGAATGGTCATGTAGGGCGGGACAAAAACGGACACCAGTGCCACGGTGGGCACGGCACAGGCGATACGAATGAGAATGGCCAGAGGATCCTGGACTTTGCCGACTCCCATGATATGACCATCACGAATACCTGCTTCATTAGGCGAGAATCTCAACTCCTCACCTACCATAGCAGAAACGGGAGCCACCACACACAGATCGACTACATCATCGTACGACGAAGAGCCGCTAAAAACGTGCTCAACGCCAAGGCGTACCCGTACGAATCGAGCAGTCAGCACAGGCCGCTGATGGCGAAGATCAGGATCAGCAAGCCCAAGACCAGGATTGACAAAAGGAATGCAGACCAGCCACGAATCAAGTGGTGGAACCAGAAGAAGATGGCGGGACCCCTCATCAAACCGGAGCAGTTCCTGCAGATGGTCGACGGGCCACAGGAAGCGTGGTCCATGCTGAAGAGCACTGTTCACACTGCCGGCTGCCAACAGCTTGGTTGCACCAAGCCAGGACGGAGACGCATCGAACGAGATACATGGCTCTGGACACCGGAAGTACAAGATGCCGTACACCTGAAGAAACGGCTCTACAAGGCCTTTCTTCAGGACAAGACCAGCGAGAAGCTCTGCGAATACAAGGCGGCCAAAAAGGCAGCCAAGAAAGCAGTAGCGACAGCCAGAAGCTCCCACTACGATGACATCTACGAGAAGCTGAACACGCGAGAAGGCGAGAATGAGATCTACCGCCTAGCCAAAAGCAGACACAGGAAGACCCTGGACATTGACCAGTTTCATGGGATCAACGACGAAAGGGGAAATTTGATCGTCAACCCCAGAGACGCTGCGGAGAGGTGGCGGCAATACTTCGAGAAGATCTCCACCGAGGAGTTCCCACACCCACGAACCCCGCGAGGTGACCCAGTTGAAGGCCCAGTCTCAGGCATTTATGCCAGCGAGGTCGCCGACGCCATCAAGGCCATGAAAAACGGTAAGGCAACAGGACCAGACGACATCCCTGCCGACTTCTGGAAAAAGGCACTACCGGGCTCGGCATTGTGGCTGTGCGAGCTGTTCAACAACATCGTCTCCACGGGAAAAGTGCCACACGACTGGTACCGCAGCACCACTGTTCCGATCTGGAAGGGAAAGGGCAGCCCAGCGGACTGCTCCAACTACAGACCGGTCAGGTTACTGTCACACACTATGAAGATCTTTGAACGCGTCCTTGATAAGCGCATTCGGGACATCGTCGACATCAGCGTCAACCAGGCTGGATTCATCAAGAACTGCGGCACCACCGACGCCATCTTCGGTGTGCGGATGCTGATGGAGGCTCACAGAGAGAAGAAAATCCCGCTCCACACCGCCTTCCTAGACTTGGAAAAGGCCTTCGACCGAGTCCCGCACGATCTCATCTGGTACGCACTGCGAGACCACGGCGTGCCTGAGCTGCTCGTACAATGGGTCCAACTCCTATACAGATGTCACAAAAGCCGTGTAAAAGCGGCAGCTGGGATATCAGAGGAGTTTAATATTACCGTCGGCGTACACCAGGGCTCTGCTCTCTCACCACTGCTGTTCATTCTGGTGATGGACACAATTACACACGACCTGTACACGCCCGCCCCATGGACGCTGCTCTACGCCGATGATGTGTTCCTGGCCAACCTGTGCAAGGCTGAACTAGAGCACCGAGTCCAACAGTGGCACGACCGCCTCGAGCAGTTCGGGCTCCGGCTGAACCTAAAGAAGTCCGAATACCTGACCACTGACAACGAAATGACAGGCTCCATCCACGTGAACGGGCAGGAGCTACCGCGCGCCTCCACCTTCAAGTACCTGGGAACTACTCTTGGGGAAGAAGGCCTACTACAAACTGAGGTGGCAGCCAGGATCAATGCAGCGTGGGGCAAATGGAAGTCCGTCACGGGCGTCCTCTGTGACAAGAAGATGCCGATGCGCCTGAAGGCGAAAATCTATAACTCTGTGGTGCGCCCCGTGGCCATATACGGCGCAGAGTGCTGGCCGACGACCAAAGAAGTCGAAAGCAGACTCCAGATAATGGAGATGCGAATGCTCCGATGGTCGGTAGGCCTCACCCTACTCGATCGCGTCAGGAACGAAGAAGTGCGTAGACGGTTCAACGTCGTGCCCATCCCCACGGTCATGAGGCAGTCCCGGCTACGATGGTTCGGCCACGTGAGCCGCGCCAAGGAAGAATCCATCATCAAATCTGTAATGAAGGTGACTGTCGGAGGAGCGAGACCGCGTGGTAGACCTAAACAACGCTGGATGGACACGATCAAGGCCGATCTAGAGATCGCGAAGGCAGACCCGACACACGTGGCAGACAGAAAGGTGTGGAAGCAGTACTCAAGGACATTAGCGGACCTCGCCCGAGCGCGAGACAAACGCTGAAGAAAAAGAAGAAGAAGAAGAAGAAATAATGTAAATGCTGTTTTAAATGTTTGTATATGTCTTTTCATTTGTCTAGATCAGGAGTCTCCAAACTTGGCAAATTTATCATCAAGGGTGGCTGTGGAATTCTGGAAGTTGAAGTCCCCAAGTCTTAAAAGTTGCTAGGTTTAGAGAGCCCTGGTCTACACCATAACATAAATGTGACTTTCTAAACCTGAAACCTCCTAATGAATCTCTAGAATAAAGAAAGGTCTAAATGATCAGAATAAAAGAAGTCCTGGGTCAGTTCCATGGCTATCAGTTCACATTCTGGATCCCAGAGAGGTCAATCAACATGGCACAAGGGGTTCTTCAACCACTCTTATTCCCTAGGGGTTGATACAAAAGTTGGCCAAAAAAATGGTCTCAAATCACAATCCCATGACCACAGGATTTTGCACCGTCATAAAAGTGAGCCAGGTGCCAATCACCCAATAATGGTAACACAAGTACAGGGGTGATGTGACAGTTGTAAGCGTGAGTACAGTTGCAAGTAACTTTTTCCAAGGCCATTGTAACTATGAATGAAAAATGGTCAAAGACTACTTGTAATCAAATCCATCCAAAATCATGACTTCCCTTACCTGTTTTCACACAAAGATAAAAACAGGGAACTATTCTAACTCCCCTATCATTTCTATTGCCTTATATTTGCTCTTCTGCTGCTGCTATAATCCTTTCTAAACACTTACTCATGCTAGAAAGGCCAAACAAACACCTGAGTCTTTTAGGGAATGAAACCTAAGGGAAAAAAGATTTCTGGTCAGCTAAAAACTCCTTACAACTCATTTTCAGGTCAATGCTACAGCCATAGGTTTTGAAAGACAATTATATTTTGCTATCAGAACTGTAGCCACATAGAGCTATCTAACAGAGAAAAGTATAAACGGATTTATTACCAGGGGTGGGGTTCTATGTAGTTGGACTGGTTCTATAGAAATTCTATAGAACCGGTTGTTACAATTCTGCACAGTTTGGAGAACCTGCCAATTGTGCCACTGGCTGCCCTTCCCCTCCCCTCCTGACCCACTCACTCCTTAGCTGGCATGCATGCCATCCAACTTGTCTGCTCCTAATTTTTGGCAACTTGCGATTTTTCCTTCCCCCTGACCATCAGCTGTTCTGACTATCAGCTGTGCCGGGAGATTTAGATTAGCTAGAAAACAGAAAATCGTTGGAGCTGAACCTTCCTTAGGCCTGAAGCTTTTATTTTTCAGTGCAGACTCAGGTAGCAGATTGCAGAATGGTAGGTGTCTGAGTGAATCTGTGATTCTGGGAGCAACTCAATCTGCCTGCCTGCTTTGCCTGATTTTGGGTAAAAGTTGCTCTTTTTTATTAAAAAAAATCAGTATTTACAGAAATACTTACATACAAGCTATGCCCAGCCAGTCACATGACCACCAAGCCACACCCAGAAATTAGGCCACGCCAAAAGAACTGGTTATTAAGAAATTTGAATCCCACCCGTTTATTACCTTAAAGACCAAGGAAATCTGACAAAAAAAGTTCTGTTGAACATTTGCCAATCATTGTTTAAAGACAAAAATAAACCAGCCTAATGATTGCAACTAAATAGCAGAAATTTCCAGTGCAAGTAAGTAATTACCTTATACTACTCTATATCTTCTTGCTTTCATCCTACACTCTTTAATATAATTGCCATCTACCTTAAAATATATACATTTTAATTATTCCCTGCCAGCATGGATATTGAAAAAAGAATACATTCTCTTCCTTCCAGCTGGAAAATGCTAATACAGTAGGAAATGCGGATGGGAAAACTTTAGGAAAGAAATTTAGCTTATATTTGAGGGTTTGTCAATCTCTGACCAGAGCACGGGATTATGAACATATTTATTTTATTTGTATGAAATTCATATTTTTGTATTCAAAAGAGTCCTTACAGCAGTGGATATAGAGGGCCAATGGAGAATAGAACACCTTCTCCTGAGAAGCCATTTTTCTACTCTACTGAAGAAATGGTGGCCTTCTCCTTTTGGCTTAGCAAACCATGCTGGGTTCCAAAAAGGAAGGTGGTTTTGCACAAAGGAGAAGCTTCTTTTCTTCAAGGTCAATTTTAGAGACTTGAAGTTACAGCCCTCCATAAAGGGCATTTTCCAACCTAGCTGCTCTTCTTCCCATTGTGAAAAGAAAGAATGGACGTACAAGAGCTAGGTGCTCTTTTTTTCCCCCTTCAACCACTATCAGGTTTTTGTTTAGGCACAACATTATTAGAAGTTTGTCGTTCTCTTTTTCAGTGCAACTGGTACATTATACCACCCATGGAAAAGTAATGGTATAGTCACAAAATATTATGCCTTTACCTTCTAAGACACGAATAAACTCTGCAAAGTCTTGAAGCCATGATGCATCTCCCGAAACTGAAAAACCTTCTTCGAAGGACTTATGCAGTTTTTTGAGTATTGTGATAAGTGATTTGATCAAAAAAAATTCAAACCCAATAAACTGGAAGAGAAATGAAAGATAATGATGCAGAAAAATGTCTGAAGTGAAAATTATAAGAAAACAATACATACCTTTAGGGACTCCCATTAGTTCAGAATGCGTTCACAATTGACCTGTAGACCTTCACACCTACAGCAATTTAAGTTGGGGGAGATCTGTTAGCTAAATCCCTCAACAGGAATAGATCCCATCTGTTAAGAGGTGTGTGGGTGTGAGTGTGGGTGTATGAATTCCTCCCTTGTTATTTAACCTTAAGAGACAGGAGATCTCTCTCTCTCTCTCTCTCTCTCTCTCTCTCTCTCTTTTACAGGAAGGGATGCAACCCATGCAGACTTCTAAAGTAATGAGTAACTTGATTGATTGTCATCACTCTTGATTTTACTTTGTTTGTGCTCAGGACAAACCATGCAAAGCTAGCTTCTTCTCTGGATTCACCATCTTAATCATCATCTTAGATGAAATTTCCTTTGCTGATTAAGAGAAAATGTTCCTTTGTTCATACTTCTCTTCCTCGAGCCTAATCCTTTCTTCAACTGTAATGTTTATTTTTATTTACTGTTAACATACTCTAAAGACTAGTTTACAAAGATAGTTTTGGTGCCAATTTTTGTTGTACGTGTCATGAGACCCATATCTCTCCAAGGGCTCATTCTGCCCTGTGATCCATTGCTGGCAGAAAGGGGAAGGCATTTTTCCCTTTGCCTTGTTTCTATAACCTGACCAACAACAGGAAAGGATGTGGCAACACAAGCTAATTGAAGGTCATAATTCCTGCATCTCCCCAGACTATCCTGGTTGGTGGGCAGGCAAAATCTTTATACAGGAATCTGTGCTACTTCAAGTACAGTAAATAACTTGGCTTTGTTGTGTTCACATAGCTTATATTAATACAATATTAATATAATATTATATAATATAATATATAATATTATATTATATTAATATAATATTAAGATACAATATAGTTTGTGTCTTAATTGTTACATAAAGCCAAGTAATTGTGATTGTCAAATACAAGAAGTATGGTTATTCACCAAAGCATGTTTAAAACAAATGTTGCTTGGCTTGATGGATGAACTTAATCTGCAACAAATAGCATTGCACATGACTACTAAAATTCTCAATTAAAGCTGTATGAGAATATATCTAGAAATTAATTTCTAATTGATCTTTGCTTTAACAAATAAGATTCTACTTCTAGGAGTTTATCCTCTTATTCATCATTTCCCCCAAAATAAGACCTATCCCAAAAATAATTTTGCTCAACATGCAAAATATAGCATGCACTACAGCTTAGCTTCAATGATCAACGCCTGTCCCTTTGGACTACAGATAACAGCTGATCCCCAGAATGCTTTCAGTGCAAGATGATTTGATTGGACCAAAAGCAGCAGTGATTTCCTTGCTGAAAGCATCATGCATTGCCTTGCCTTACCATGTAAAGACATAGGAACATAACGACAATTGTGCTGATTAATCTGCTGGGGAATTTAAAGTAGGGGTCCCATTGATACAACTTTCTCTGAAACCAGTTTTTCTGGGGATTCCTGTTGGTAGATAAAAATATAGGGGTGTTAAGTAACAACAACAACACAATAAAAAACCAGATCATTCTCCAAAGCTGCTTTGCGTATGATAGAAGAAAGTCCATTTCCTTTATTTCTCTGAATTTGAAATTACCATTGCTATTTGGCCTAGTTCTATCAACAGAACCCTTATTGCGAGGGTCTTTATCCCTCAGTGTGGCTGGATTGTAGATGATAGGAATGAATGAGAAAAACAAAAAACAATGAACAGGATATGGGTGACCAACACGCTCTATTTTTTCCCAAACTAGTCTTGCCCAGTATCTCCATTTGTGAATTCCCCTCCCAGCTTCCAGCAAGCAAAGTCAATGGAGAAGATGGCAGGGGAGGTTGCAAGTTGCTCTGTTAAGTCACTCTCATCCTCTCCTTCCAAGGGACACTCATACATATTCACCCACACAGCAAAAGCCACCCCAGCCTCACTGCACTTGCGCCATATCTTGCTTTCTTTCTAGCCTGATTTGGTCCATTTGGGACTCACCCAACAACCTCGTTTAATGATGGCAATGGGGAGTGCTGGATTGTTATTGCTAAGGGGTGTAATCACATGATATCATGCTTTACAACCACCATGACTTAGTGATGTAAACTCCAATCCCAATTACTCTCATTAGTTGAGGATTACCTATAAGCAGCATTTTCAAAACATTTCTTTCTCCATCAGAATGTCATGAGAATCAAAGCTTAAAGACAACACATCACTTTGCCAGCAAGATATTGTGGGTTTTGCTGAGGATCCCAAGGTTAGCATGTTTATTCTAGGGTAAGCTTTTCAGCAGTACAGTCCATATGCTCACAGGCATACCTGCACCTGATGTCTGTATTGAATTCAATTCAAACCTTAAGCCAGAATACACTGACTAACCATTAGGGATCCATGAAATTCCAGATGCTTTTCAGCTAATGTTATCATTTTATCGAATGTGAGCCTAACTATTGCTCTGTTGACAGAAAGATTTTGCTCATATTGGTATTAGCCAATTATCTGACACTGAAAAAAAGAAAAAAGAATTATCAGAATACGTCAAAGCAAAAACGTCTCCAACGACAAAATGATCCTCACCCAAGCACAGGCTTTCTCAGCAACCGCTGGACATACTGCAACTGGTATTGTTCCATAAGAGAATCTTTGTCCTGTATAGTAAATAAAACAGCTTTACACAGAATTACAAACCGTGTGTGTGTGTGTGTGTGTGTAAGAGAGGGGGGGGAGGGAGGGAGGGAGTGGGAAGGGGAGAGAGAGAAATGAGAGAGAGAATGAACTTTTAGGGATTAAAAAACTCAAAATGGATACATAATATTAACCCAGGTTTATTTCTGCTAGTGCATATAACTGACAAAGAGCATGATTAGACCAGAGGTGGTATTCAACAGGTTCTGAACAGTTCTGGAGAATCAGTAGCAGAAATTTTGAGTAGTTCGGACTGGCAAATACCACCTCTGACTGGCCCCGCCTCCATCTATTCTCTGCCTCCCAAGTCCCAGGTGATTGGCTGGGTCTTCTTTTGTTGCCCTGCACAGGAGAACAGAGCTGGAAAGCAGGTTAGTGGGGTGGGAAGAGTGGGAATGGGGATTTTGCAATAACCTTTCCCCAGGAGTAAGGAGGGAATTGGGATTTTACAGTATCCTTCCCTTGCCACGCCCACCAAGCCACGCCCACAGAACTGGTAGTAAAAAAAAATTGAATCCCACCACTGGGTTAGACCCACTGCAGATAATGCAATGTGCCTAGCTGAATTGTTTATTCAGAGCATACCAAGTGACTTAACATACTTCTTATGCTTTTAACTGATACCTCAGGAAGCTGTCATGGAAGTACAGTAGACCTTAAAGCCAAAAATGCCAATATGGCACCAATGGAAACAATGAGCAGAGCTCATTTTAAGAACCCACAGGCTTCTGAGTGTGATTATAACATCTTATAAAAACATTAGAATGGATGTTTAGGCTGGATTATAACCATGGGAGGCCTTGCGATAATTGGTCTCTCATCTTTTCTGCTGCTACCATCTGTGTTAGGGAAGGTTTAACATCAAAAAAGAATAAAGCCATATAAAAGTTGCCTGTCCATTCAGGGCATGGTTGAAATAATGCTGAAGGTGAACATTTTGGATATCCCTGAAAATATTAGAGTGTTGGCCTTACTTCAATGTCCTACAATTGCACAAGAAAAGATACATTTTTCCAGGGGAGTCTTAAGAGTATCTTCTTTGTAATAATGCCAAAAGTGATTATACATACTGTAGTCTGGATGAAAGTTTTCCTTAGTTTGGGAAATGTCATGAGGTAATTGGTCATTCCCCAGAAACCCTTTTCCCTATTTCCCTAAACTATTTATCTTGATCTGAATTTTGATATAATTTGCAAGTAGTCCTTGCTTACAAACTCCTCATTTAGCTACTGTTCAGAATTATGATAGCACCGAACAAATGAGATGATTGGTCCTCATAGTTGTGGCTATCACAGCATCCTCACAGTCATGTGGTTGTGATTCCAGTGCTATGCAACTGGCTCTTAACATGCACTGCAGCATTCTGTGGTCGCGCGATTGCCATTTGTGACCTTAACTGTTGGCTTTCAAAAGCAAAGCCCATGAAGATGCTGGCAGGAGGTCACAAATGGCAAATTTTCAGTCCAAATTACTGTCATTAAGTGAGGACTACTTGTAGTTTCTATAGGAGTGTATGTTCGGCATGTTCTTATCTCAACAATCTAACCCTAGTGTTGGAACTTCCGGTTTGCAGGGCTTCGGTGGCGGCAGGAATCTGCGATCGTACGCGGTTTCTGCCTGCGCTCGCCGCTGGAGTGCCCCGAGCCAGCCAGCTTTGGGGCTAAGCCACCCCGTAGAGGTGGTGAAGACAGAGGAGACTCAGCAGGGTTCGAGGGGAGCAGCACCTCCCCTCCTCAGCTGGCTTAACTCCTTTTTCCGAACGCGGTAAAGAGCGGCGGTCAGAAATGGCCGCTTCAAAGCACTCATCCGGAAAAGAAAGTGCAGGAGGAAGTTAAGAAGTGAAAGTTCTGGCTGACCGGGATAGGAAGCAACATTCAAGGTATCCTGGAATTTAAATTTTAAAAAAAGATACATCGCTCCCAAAGAAGATCCAGAACCAGCGAATGAAAGTAAAAAGGGAAAGTTTGCTTTTTCTTACTCTCCTTCCTTACGGTGACAGCAGATGAATGAGAAATCGGAAAAACCCACTTTGGCATCAGCAGGTAATTAAACTGGAAAATCAAAGCCAAGGGGACAATAAAGATTTCTGAACACTGAAAAAACTTTTTTTTGCTGTAAGTGGGAAGGGAGAGGAAAAGAAATATGAGTAAGATTTGGCTGGAGAAGGCTGCTTGGAATTTAAAAGAATTTAAAGTTAAATTGTAACAAGACTTCTAAAAGATATATTTTAATTGGAACTTTGTAACTGAATTGTAACCCCAAGAAGAGAAAGTGAAAAAAGAAGAAAGTGTTAAATGAAACAGCTTGTGTGTATTTGGACTGCTTGGTGACTTTGGGACTTTTGGAAATTATATTTGAATGATTAAAAACACCTGGGTGGTTGTTTAAAAATTTTTTTACAATGGCATCACTTGTGGATGAACTGAAAATGGAATTTAAAAAATATAAAGAAGAGGAACAAGAAGGGAAGGGCTCTTTTGGCTCTGTTTTTCATTTCTTAGAAATGGCAGTCTCTACCTATGAGAAACTACAAGAAACTGCGCAACAAGAAGATTGGGACAAAGAAGAAGCCATCTTTAATGAACAAGTAATTTTATCTGGGGAAGAAAGGGGAAAGGGGGGAAAGAGAATGGAGAACTTAAGACCTAAAAAAACAACCAAAAAAGGGAAAAATAAGGTGAAAAGTGGATATAATGTCAGAAAGCAACAGAAAGGAGGAATACAGAAGAGGGAAATGGAGATGGAGAGACAAGGGGGTAAAAAGGGCAGAGTGAAGAAGCAAGGGAGGAAGGGAAGAGAAGCTACAAAGGTTTGAAACAAGATGTAAAGAAACAGGATTTATTTAGAGATAATGGTTAAAAATATAACTGAAAAAGAGATTCTGCAAAGGTACATAAGACTGTATTGTTGTATTTGTATTAGAAATAATGTTAGAAAATTGGAACAACATATTATAAAATGGGATAAAATATCCAATGTAATTCAGTGAAACTTTTTTTTTGAATAAAATAAATGAAATGAAATATGAGAGAATTGAATTAAGAAGGAATGGGAACATTTTAATTACATAATATTTTAAAATATAAGTGAAATGAGGGGGAAGTAACTACGCAAAATTTATAAGTGTTCCCATAGAAGCATGATACCTATTGAAAAGGAATATGTAAAATGTTTAAGATTTAAATGAATATTAATTTTAATGATAGAGTTCAATTGGTATGGATTATTGTTTTAATTATATTATACATTTATAGTTTTTTCTCTTCTTAAAATATAGTGCGTAGCTTTAGAACGTACTAAGCAGAATCCGAATGAAAGTTATGTATTATATTAAGTGTTAAATTTAGGGGAAAGATATAAAGGTGTCATACTCCAATCTGTGATTACAAGAGAAATTTTGTGTTAATGAGAAAAGATAAGCTGAAACAGGACAGACAAAGGATATAAGTATAATGATTTAAATTGAGAATAAATAAATAAAATAGAATTAAGAGAGTGAAAAGAAGGGAGAAGCTATATAGAAAATGTAGAATGGTAATAAGATATGGAATGGTATATAAAAGTGAGCATGAACTTGAATTTATGTCTGTACGAAGAGATGTAACCCGGGATCAAGCTGCTTTCAAAAAAGATGTTTTATGTTTTTGTGTTTTGTGTTTTGTTTGTATATGTTTTTTAAAAATTAATAAAATTTTTGGGGAAAAAAACAATCTAACCCTAGTGTTTATTTGATGAGATTGTTCCAGCTTAGGTGGCAGTCATCAGCTATTATTAATGAGACTAAGCCCAAGGAGAAGAAGTGGAGTTTTAACTAGTAATTTAACATTAACCTAACTTCACTTTTTGGCATCCCAGGTTCTAACCTAAGAAGAGCATTGGAAACAGCAAGTAGAATCCTCAAAAATTTAGTCTGATCTGCCTCAGGATAATTTCTCTCAGCATTGAGCTCCAACATTCAGACAAGTATATAACGTGGAACAATTTCAAAGTAGCTGAAATTAATTAATCTCTGCTGTCTGAGGAATTAGATGAAAGGTGTCCAAAAAGAGAGGGAATAGTTTCACAAGAAGAAATTATTACAATTAGCTGATCAAGCAACACTCTTGAGTGCAAAATGTGGACAGATGGTAGGAGATAGTCAGGCTGAGCCCAAGGAGAAGCGGGTCAAATGCATCATCAGCCTCGAGTCCCTTTGTGCCCATAAGAGATCTAAGTCCAGCCTATCTTGAATTCCATTGACTCTTATCTACCATCAATTTGCTTTGATTGTTAGTAGTTCAGATTCTTATAGAGAAATTAAGTTTGCAATAGACCTATATATTCACTGAACTGCCTGGACTCCTGATTTCCCACACTTGACATGGATCCAGTTAACCACAAGGCTATTATAGAATTTCCTGGCACATGCTCGTTATAAAATATATCTATATAAATATATAACTATAAAATATAGGCTAACACAAGCATTATTCCCTTATTAGTATTATTCTAGATATTTCCTTATCCCTACAATTTGCATATCTACAATGAAGTTTGCGATATAAGCATGAGATAGAAAAGCATAGAACTATTATTGTTTAGAGATAATTAATGTATAATTAATTATAAGATTGAGATTGTTTTATATTTCAGCAGCACAATGGCAAACTTTGCACCTGCTTTGAAACTTAATCACATAAATGTTTTCTTCAAAACTATTTCACTTTTGCGCTCATGTGAGAAGCACCAAGGTACGTCTGGTGAAAAGAATCAGATACTGACATCACCATTGCCCTGGGGACACCCAGTTGGGGGCTCTTTCCACGTCCCGGGCAGGAGGTGGAGTGAAGCACAAGAGCTCAACCCCACCCACAGCAGCACTCGCATCTCCAACGTGGGCTTGCTAACCTCCTGCCCAGCACCCCAACCATTCCAGATACCATGTTCCAACATTGAGATTAATATTGATCCCTACCTGCTACATACATGATTACTTATTAATGGCTTATAATATGAAATGTATACTATTAAAATATTTATTTTTATTTATTTACATCCTGCCTTTATTATTTTTATAACAATTCAAGGCAGTGAACATGCCTAATCATCTTTCTTCCTCCTATTTTCCCTTCAACAACACTGTGTGGGGGTTGGGCTGAGAGAAAGTGATGGGCTCAGAGACACCCAGCCAGCTTTCATGCCTAAAGCAGATCAAGAACTCAGTCTTTAGGTATGAAAGCTGGCTGGGTGTCTTGGTTTCTAACCTGGTGCTTTAACCACTAGACGAAATCAGCTGTTTGATACATAAAAGAGCTTATTAATTTCATGGAAAAGTAAGTTAAGTTAAGTTAAGTTAAGTTAGTTAAGGTAAGGTAAGGTAAGGTAAGGTAAGGTAAGGTAAGGTAAGGTATGGTATGGTATGGTATGGTATGGTATGGTATGGTATGGTATGGTATGGTATGGTATGAGGAGAGGAGAGGAGAGGAGAGGAGAGAATTGGCCGTGTATGATCGGACACACAATTTTCAAAAATGGTGACCCTTACTTGGTTGAAAGCTACAGACCAATCTCATTGTTGTGTTGTGTTACGTGCAAAGTTATGGAATCAATTATTAATCAGTGCATTATCTTCCACCTAGAGTCTAACAACTTACTCTCCAATAAACAATCTCCAGAATTTCCCAGCCCGCATGAAAAACACTGATCTATAAGGCTTGGAAAACTATCAAGAATTGGGGAGTGTGGTTAAATCTTAGAAGACATGAGAATATCTGGCTATGGAAATCAATTATTAAGTCTTCCAAAAATGTGGAAATTTTTGACCAAATTTGAAATGTTACCATTTTATGCTTACAATACTGATTATAGGCAGGGGGGTTAGTAATTTTAATTTTATTTTACTGTGATTGTAGACCATCACAACTGTACTTCTGTATTTCTCTAGGCAGTTAATAAAGCTAAATAAATCCAGAAAACCATAATAACATTCATTAAAAACAGTGAAACTAGCAGATAGCAGGTGACGCATAATCTCTATTTCCAAACTCTTGTAGAAGTAACCATTTTTTACCTACTTTAAATGGCCAAAATAGTAAGAAAGGGATAAGATCGCCAGATATGTTCTCATTTCTTAAATCAGTGAGTCTGATTTAATAATTAGCTTATTTCACAATTCTTTTTCTAGGTTTGTCTTTGGTATTCAATTACATTTAAAGAACTTTCCTTTCATTGGAGTATAATCAAATAATCCAAATGAAGTAATTAAAAGAGAGGACTTCAATGCTGCTATAAATACTCACATTTTGGTTCCATACAGATGAAAATCTCACTGCTTTCACAAATTTAAAAAGGAAATGTCCTAGCAGAAGGAACAGGAACAGCAAGGATGGCCACTTCAGAATTACGTCCGTGTACTTTCCAAAAAGCTAGGCACGGAAAGCAGAATTACCAACAAAGTTGATCCACTCTTCTTCCTTCCCTGTGTAAATTCAGCTTAAATTATGCAGTAAATTAATTGTAGTGAACACTGAAGCTTGACTTGAGGTTCATACCAGAAATCTTGGCTCTTCAGGGGAAGGACCAGAGGTGGTATGCTATCGGTTCAGCTGAACCAGTAGTAAAAAAAAAAAGGGCTCCAATGATCAGCTGAGAGGATAAAGAAAAGCGCAGGATCGGCCCCACCTCTGCGCTTTTCTCTTCTTTATTCTCTCAGCTGATTGGTGCTGAGGGCCTCAGTTGGTGTCTGGAAAGCTGCATGCATATGTTAAGTGCGCACGCGCAATCACCAAACTAGTAGTGGAACAGGTAGGATCCCACTGCTGGGAAGGACTTTATTCAGTCACAAAGGCCAAGTTTGTTTTAATCTTGTGATCTAATGGGAAAGATATGCATAGAAAGCATAATAGATTTTCTATAGACCTAACTAACCTTAGCTTACACCATATTGTTTTTGTGCATCGTGCTCAGGGGATTTTCTTCCAGCAGCAAGCCAGCTAAATTTTCATTAGATTGATGCACTGAATGCCTTTAAGTCAGGGATGTCAAAAGCCCGTGCTCCAGATATGGCCAATGGGATGCTTAGATTTCGCCCGTGGGCCTGCCCTGGAAACAGTGAAGGACCAGCCCATGGTGCCTCTACCAGTGAAAACAGAGCTCGGGAGGACCACGTGCAGCCTGCCCAGGGTCCATTTTCAACTGCAACAGCCTCCTGGAGCCCTCTGCCAGTGAAAATGAAGCCCAGGAGGATGTTGCGGTTGAAAACGAAGCCTTGATGAATGACCTTGAGTTGGCCACGCCCCCTCCCCCAGCCCTCCAGGGTCAAACACTACTCTGATGTGCCCCTCAATGAAATTGAGTTTGACACCCCTGCCTTAAGTGAACCTCCAATTACCATAGTAAAATAGTAATAATTGTCAAAAATAAATACGTACATTGTCATTAGGAGAGCAGTCTAAAATGTCAAAGATCGTGGCAACTGCCCTGTAAAATACATGGAGTTATTATTTTCATAACTTAGCAGTAGAAATGATAGAATACATACATATGGTTACATATTTGTACTACTTGTTAAGCCAAACCTCTGATGCCCCATATTCAAATCAGATCCAACATCAACATCACTCATCACTTTCATACTGTTTCTTTGATTTCTGTATTATTGGTGAAATCTGACTAGAAAATTTCAGGAATTAACAGCTAATATAACTGGAAAGTTCTGTTTAGAAAAAGACATTTTTGCATGAAAACAGATCTTCACTGGCAATGGTAAAGTTCTAACATTAAAGGAAATCCATACCCCTTCCTTAACAGGCATGGTGGCTCAGCAGCTTAAAAGACACCAGAGAAGATCTATACTCTGGAGGTTCAATCCCTAGCACCATGTGACAGAATGAGTTCCCATCACTTGTCTCAGCTTCTGCCAACCTAGCAGTTCAAACACATGTAAATGCAAGTAGATTAATAGGTACCACTTTTATGGGAAGGTTTCAGCACTCCATGTTTCCCTGGATGCTCTGCACTGTGGCATGATGTCATGCTGACCATATGACCATGATAATCTTCTTCAGACAGTGCTGGCTCAATAGCCTAGAAACGGAGATGAATGCTGTCCCCTAAAAATTGGCTAATGACTAGCAGAGTAAAATCCTCAGGGACTCCTTTGCCTTTTTTTACCTTCACTAATGGATGCTTCCAATGCAACTTTCATCTCTTAATCCCCACTGTCATTAGATCTCTCTACCTTTCAGCAATATAGAAAACAGGAAGATGCTGAAAGAGCAACAGTGGTTTATTGCTTTGATTTTTCCCATGTTCTTAGAAATCTTTTTCTTAATATATTCCATTCAATATGCTAAATTATTTATTAATATCTGGATATTTGTGTTATAATTAATATGCTTTGCATATGGATCACTGAAACTATCTTGATTTTCTTATTGGCAGTATATGTTTGCTATGGACTTATTTTCCCTTTGACTTCTGTGCTTCTGTATTTTCACTATTCATCCCAACTGTTTCCATCCTTTGACACCAGGGATTCTATGAGCCAACAGCTTGAGCAGGGTCCACAGTATTGTCTGGTATGCTACCCATTCTCTTCATGATCTATTTTCCTTGTTCTGGGAGGAGGCTTTATGGTATCCAAAGCTGAACATCTAGATTCAGTCACAGCTTTGTTCCATATAGTATCAAACTTGTAAACTCTCGTTTCCTCTTTCTGCTATGAATAGGTAGACAGCAGTATATAAATATGTATATGAATGTGTATGTGAATATGTATGTATGCATGCATGCATGCGTCTAAATATCTACATGTATATAGCCTGACTGTATGTGTGTTATGTATATGTATGGGTAGATATATATTTTCTTTTGAGAGCAGGCAACAGAATTTCATTTTTTATGTATGCCAGTGTGCTCATAGTAAAAAATGACAACAAAGGTTATCTTATCTTACCTTATCTTACCTTACTTTACCTTACCTTACGTTACCTAAACTGGTACTCTCTCCAGCTAAATAACACGGGAGTCCAAATCAGGAGTGTTTGACTCCTTGCCTTAACAATTCTTGGCAGTATGAAAAGAATCTCTCTCTCTCTCTCTCTCTCTCTCTCTCTCTCTCTCTC